AAGTAACCTATATTTATGTATATATATATTTAGTAGAAAAAAAGTTGATTTCTAGGACAAAAATAAATATACGAATACTGTACATTTAATATACATTAACGTACATATACATATATGTACATACGTTACATAAACGTATTTTACAGCCGTATAATCTATGTACATCGTACTTTAAACAAATATTGATATATCAGAAATATTTTTTTACTATGGAGAAAAATATTTAAATATTATACTTATATTTTTGTATAAAATTATTTCTATTATAAATCCATATCTTATGCTGTTAATTTTATATAAAACTCATTGAAAGATATTGTTCTCTTTACAGGCTTTTTATCGTATTCTGGGCCATTTAACCAAGAATATAGAACATATTTGATGCAATCGTGGAATCAAAAATTAATTCAAAAGAATATTCTAAAATCTCCTAATTTAAACGTGACAGATGAATTCGCCGATGCCTTAACGATAAGTGAATGGAATCTCCTGGGGCTGCTGAATGACGAACTATCAACTCAAAACGATGTAATTGTTACAAAATCGTCAAAATGTACTATTATGATTCATCTGCAAAACCAAGGGATATCTTGGATTAAAAATAAAGAAGCAATAAACGATATAAGAATTACTTTTTTCGATGATAAATATGTTAGAAATCATCTTGAAAACTGTGTATTAATGGAAAAACCGTTACTAATCCAAGATATATTACAAGATGTAGATCCAGTTATAAATAATATTTTGGAGAAAAACTATTATAAAGTTGGTAGAACTCTGAAAGTGTTATTTGGAGATAAAGAAATTGACGTAAGCGAACATTTTCGTCTATATTTCAGTTCAAAACTTGGTAATCCATCATATCCACCGGAGCTCTATGCTCGATGTGTAGTGATCAACTTTACTGTGACTATGAATGGTTTAGTAGATCAATTATTGAGTAGAGTGATCGAAACTGAGAAAAGAGAATTAGAACAAGAGCGTATAGAATTGATCACAGAAGTGATTTCTCAAAAACAAAAAATGCAAAAGTTAGAACATGATTTTTTAGTAAAATTAACCATTGTAAAAGAATCATTAGTAGACGATGAAACAGTTTTATACACGTTAAATAAAACGAAAGATACGTCTATGAATGTTAGTGAAAAATTAGAGGTGAGACACAAATCAAAATTGGTTTGATGCGTGAAAATTATCGTTCGATAGCAACTCGTGGATCTGTGTTATAATTTTTAATTGTAGAAATTGGAATGGTCAATCCTATGTATCAGAACTCTTTGCAACAGTTGTTAGAACAATTTAATTTGTCGTTATCAGGCCCAAACCTTTTGATTGGATGACCGACATTTGTTGGATGAATTTAACTGCATTACAAGTTCTTCCGCCGTTCGATGAAATATTAACGATGATAGAAAAAAATGGCCCTGCGTGAAAAAATTGGTATGAAAGTAGTAGTCCAGAAATAGAAATAATGTCAAATAATTCGCATACTATTAGTGTGTTCGAAAAATTATTGGTTATAAGAGCGTGGTATCCAGATAGAACTTTAAACCAAGCATTTACTTACGTCGGGGAATCGTTGGAATTACAGTTTGTCGAAACGATGATGTTTGACATCGAAGAAATGTATCTGGAATCCCGAAGTGATACGCCATTGATATGTTTTTTAAGCATGGGTTCATATCCTAGCGATCTTATAGAGAAAACTGCCAAAAAAAATGGAAATCCCATTCAATTCCGTAACTATGGACCAGGGTCAAGAAGTACACGCCGAGAGATTTATAAAGAATTAACGTATAAAGAATCGATGTAAGTAATCGGCGAGATTTAAATTAATTATTCTAGAAAATACTAATATTCTAATATTTATATATGTTCATTTAGGGAGGATGGATATTACTTCAAAATTGCCATTTATGTTTGAAATTTATTTAAGAAACATATGCATTTATATATAATAGTGTTTCACCGTCAAATCAATCGAGCTTTAGGATTTGGATAACTACAGAAGTTCATCCGAAATTCTCGATATCATTTCTACAAATATCTGTGCATTTTACGTACGAGCTACCAGAAAGTATTCATTTACATCCACAAAAAAAATATTATAAATCAATTACACAAATATATTTTATTTATAAGCTGCTAAAAAACTGTTTACTGATAAATAACTATGAACCGAAAGTTAATGAGTATAATTAATATAGTTTCATAGATTTTTAAGGATTACGAGCTGGTTTAATGAGAACATATAACAACATGGGAGAAGAAACGTTGGGTAATTCAAATACACTTTAATACAGATTAATACTTTACATAATTTCTTTTCTTCATTCAGTCGTACAAGATTGTAGAAAATTTGGGCCCATCGGATGGAATATTCCCTATGAGTTCAACACATCGGATTGGTACTCGTCAACTTTGTACTTATAAAATATTGTTGACGATGTGAATGTCAATTCTCAAATTGACTATCAGGTAAACCATAAATTTTATTGAAATTGTATTGTTATTATATGACTGTAGAGGTATTTTTTTTTTTACTTTTAAGTTTTTTTCTCCCATATAAAAAAAAATTGGCATTAAAAATATTACATGTCTTGTACAATAATCATTGTTAAAACGGTATCATAGGTAAATGACAGCCGAAGTACATTATGGTGGCCGTGTAACCGATGACTATGACCGACGATTATTAAACAATTTTATCGAACTTTGGTTTACTGACAGTATTTTTGACGAAGCGTTTTGTTTTTATAAAGGATACAACATATTAAATTATGAAGTATTGTCAAACTATTTGTCAGTAGTCGAAGAAATGCCATTTAAGGATCCACCTCAGTCGTGTGGACTTCATCCAAACACCGACATTACGTAAGTTTAAAACTGTAATATTAATAATAATAATAATAGTTTTATTATTAATGATAAGGTTTATTAGAATTATAATTGAATACATTTACATTTATTGCATAGATATCAAAGTAATATTGCTCAAGAACTGTTTGATACTTTAACATTGATTCAACCAAAGGGATCTAGTGGTGGAAGTGAAGTGACAAGGGAAAAAATGGTCTACAACATGTCTAAAGAATTGTTAGATAAACTTCCGCTTGTTTTTAATATGTTTGGAATCAAAAGAAAAAAAATATTCATAATAATATTTTATATCTTTGGATCAAAGGTTGTATATTTGAATAAAATTTTGGATTGAATATGATGGGTCCTACGCAACCCATGAACATATTCTTAGGCCAAGAAGTCGACCGTAATCAAAAAGTTATTGAAATAGTTAAAAGTACCTTGGAAGACCTTTTATTGGCAATTGACGGAATAATAATAATGAACGAAGTAATTATTAAAATTAATTTATATTTATTTTAAGTAATTAATAGTTATTAATTACTTCAATAGTTTTTGTATGATTACTATAAAACAATCATCGAATATCATACTTCAACCTATGTGACTGAAAAGCTTAATACATAAATTGCATATGTAACATAAAATACATATACATATTATTGTACATTATTTGGTTTTAACCTATTAATTTTAATATATATTTATAATCAATGGCGTACATTTAATTTTGCTCGGGGGGGGGGGGGGGGTTAGTAAAAATAATCGTTATCTTTTTTTTTTCGTTGCACAGGTAAATAACTGATATAAATAGATATTGTTTTATAGAACTTTTTTACCAATTTACAATTTATTTTTACATTACAGTAAAGTAATAGCTATTGGAATATAAAAACAGTATAGTTAACAAAACTTTTCAAACATCTATCAATATAATTATTAATTATCATAATATTTGTATAGTTGTATATTTTAAGTTCAAAGTGTAATAATGAAACTACGAATATATTACACGTCATCAATAATAAAACAATTTTCTTTATTTTTTTTGGCCCTGAGGGGGAGGGAGGATTTGAACCCGGATCATTTTTTTGTCTTATAAATTTTTTTTCTATTTAAAAATTTGACCAAATTAGAGTAAGTCAAAATTTGAACTAAAAAATATTAATCTATCCAAATATGTAAAATAAAATTAGTGTTCCCATTTAAAAAAATATAAGTTGTATTGCGCATACGCACACCATAAATGTTAAAAATTTGAAAATTATGAATATATATGTATTTAAGTACCCCCTAGGCCCTCTAAAATATTCACTTCAATACAAGATCATCTACCTTCGACATTTAATGTTACCTTAAATCGTGATCACACTGTATACAATGTATGTGTATTATACATATTCTAACACGAGATAGATTTCTTATTTTAGTTTTATTGAGACGTTTTCGTGTGTCTCTGAAAATGTATTTGAAATTAATAACAAATTTAAATATTTTAATCGAAATTGAATCAATCTAAAGCCAAAATATATTTTATTATAGAGTAAATACCATAATTAAATGGATGGAGATTAGTTGATTCAAAAAAAATGTACAAAATTATAATAATTCACCCTACTAAAATGTGTATAAATTTACTAATATATATAAAGTTAGATATCTAGATTAAATTCGCTTTCTACTTTAATATAGTAAAGTAATAATAGTAAACAGTATTCTATAAATTATGTCTATAACTTTTTTTTACAGATAAATTAAAAATATGATAGTGTTTATTGAAATTCAGTAAGACAGTACTATTTAATGTTTATAAAGTGCACTACAACGGTTGTTGAAAACGAATACAAATATAGTTTATTTCTTATCATATAAATGCTAGGTACAAATATTCGACATTTTACAACTGAAATTAAATTACACAAAAATCAATGTAACTACAAGAGTAATTTAACACAATAATGTACAGTAAATAATATTTAGTAATTGTTAATTGTTTAAATAAATGTATTTTTCATAAATTATTAAAATAGGGAAATTATACAAATTACAATGTTTAAATTAAAGCTATAACACACAAAATTATAAACAATTCTAGTTAATGTACATAAAAAAAATAATTTTTTTTTAAAGTATCGGTAAACAATATATTTTTTTTATTTAAGATTAATATACATTAATTCTATACACGTAACTGTTGGAATAAAGAAGCTATAAAAAAAATTAGAATGCCACGTTGAAATGCAATATCAAAACTATTTTAATCATAGAAATGGATTCCGCACGTCACGATTATGAATTTTTATATAGTTTCTGCTTTTAACTTACGTACAACAATTAAGCAAAAATATTGAAATATTTTTTACAATATATTTATATTAACCGCAAGTATAAAACGTTTTCGGCGTTGGAGGTTTAACGTGGAATTTTCTATTTACGTCCGTGCTTTATGGATCTGTGTCTAAAAATTAAATCGAATTATTAGTTAGCATCATAGCGAAAATATCCATGTTATATTTCCTATCAAGGTCTGTTAGGCACCTCTAAAATTTCGAGTTTACGAATTTTTTCCAACAGCAAAGAAACGCTTATTTTGTTTTTACTACAAAAATCAATCGTACACGTGTGTAACCAACGTGCCGTATGTATGTATACCGCACCGTACGGCTCGCGGATAGATCTATATTTAACACATTGAACAATAACCGCGTAAAGCGGCTGAGGACTGACTGATCAACAATCCTTAAATGTAAAATAAAATGTAGCGTTTCGAGTTGTGCAACGACAAAAACTGTAGGCGTTGAAAAAAACAAAAGCTAATGAAAAATACTGTTGCAAACGTAACAATTTTCGTTTGACGCGCCCTACGTGTAACGCAGACTATTGTCTCGGGCGCCGGGCTTCGGGTAAGGTAGGCAAGTCGCGACGCCTGTAGTCGTTTAACGTGTGTGTCACGGTATGGGCCACGGGATTGTGACGAGCGCAGTATGTCATGTTTCTCATTTTTTTCGTTGCCGACATCACGTCCGTTCTGTCCAGCCGATGAGACCAGTTGCCGATGATGCCGTCCGAGCTTTCGGAGAACGAGTGCTTGTGGAAGCTCCTGATCTTGTTTACCAGACCGTTCCCCCCCATCAACAGCTTGGCGCGCCTCTCGTCGCGGGACATCGGCGGAGGACGCGCCACGGCGGTCCCCGCACCATACGAGGACGATTTAGATTTGGCGGACGCCTCTGCCAGTTCTAGGGACAGCCTTGCAGCCGATTCCGTGTCGATGGTTATGCTGACCGGGTTCAACGACGACGACCGTAACTGCTGTGAGGTCAACCGCACCGGTGACCGCGGATCGTACACGTTGATGGTGGTCTTGGACACGTCGCACAGGTAGCTTTCGTTCACGTTGACGGTCAGATAGAAGTATTTTACGTCCCGGCCTTTGTGCTTGGTTTGCAGCAGTTCACCTTGGCTCATGTCGTCGATGATTATGAAGTTGGTGGCATTATCGGTGCGGGCAACGGGGCCGAACGCGTCCGCGGTGTTCGGTTGGTTGCAGCGGTCGCGGTGAATCGAGTCCACCCTGTTCACTTCATCGCGTTGAGCGGCCTGATCGCACAAATGTAAACGTATTAGTATTTCGTTCATGTGCAGCACACATGCGAGTGCTTTACTAATACTTACATTCGTACTGAAGTCGAAGTTTGCGAGAAAGTTTTCTATGTCGTCGTAATCCATGTCGTCATCGAAATAAGTGTATGTCGGAGTTGTAAATGTATGTTGACCAATAACGTTATCGTTCACTGCCGACGAATATTCATCGTTTAACACCGACAGATGTCCATCATTTAACTCGGGTAGCGTTCTTAGCTCCCTGTCAACAACAGCGGCCACTTGATCAATTATATCGCTCAACACGCTGATCTCGTAGTCATCGATACCTGCCCAGCACATTGATTTCAACGCCATCGATGCCGATAAAGAATTTTGGGTACACATGTTGTTATCACTGAAAAATTAATAAATATTGTAATCACATACACTTACTTAAAGGATATACAAAAATAAAATATTAAATGCATATACTTAATAAATACAAGATACGTACTAATTTATGAACGAATGAAAAATATGTTAACATTTAGTACCTACTATATGTTTCCATTAATAGTTTTTCATTTTTTTTTTTTTTTTTTTTGTTAAACCTAATATATCCCACACAGCATTTGTCAATCATAACGATTGTATTAATGTTTTACTTTGATTGGAATTAAAATATTTAAAATTAAAACTTTATCCAACGTTATAAAATTATTTAATTTAAGATTCCGAACGGATCTATTTTTATGTTATAATTGAAATATTGAATAAGACTTAATTAATTTTAGATAAAAAATATTTAAATATAATACAAATTTTAAATTGTATAATTCTTAATATTTAACATTTATTAACTTACAAAGATTAATTTTGAAAATCAAACATTAACTTTATATTTATACTAATTGTTTAATTTTAATTTTGTGTTCATTGAAAATCAAATATTTTATATTCAATTTAAATATAATTATACATATCGTATGCGGCGTATATATATATTATACCTCTTTACTGCAGAGCAAGTTTTCGCATTAGCAAGCCTATATTATTACTATAATATTGGAAAGACCATGATATTATCAATATAGTGCTCGGCCTTGGACCGACACATTTATATTTTCGTTCATATATGTTAATTGTATAATGCTTAAAGCAGACAGCAGTACACGCTACACACACACACACAGATACATCGTAATCGCGCATGTCTGTTTAATTCCCTGTATTAAAACCACGTTTAAAGATATATCTTTAATCGTGATTAAAACCATCAAATTATTACATTTCAAAATAATACGATTTATTTCTGCACAATAATCAGTTATACAGTGACGAACTGACGACGCTGTTAAATTTTGTTAGTGTTATATTCAATATTGAATAGACGAAGTCTATTTTTATGTTTTGTCACAAAATTATTATTATTATTTGGAAATTACGTAGTACGATTAATATCGTTGCGTTGGATTACCGATTAGCCGATTAATTGATATAATAAAAAACTATAATAAGATTGTGCTTTTACATCAATACACAATACACATATTACTATATTATCACTCCTACAGTCCTACAAACAGAGCTCTCTGCTCATTATTTTGTAGACCAGTGAATAGTACTGACTTACATGTCACATTATTGTTACACTCGTCAAGTCTCATTGCTCGTCAAATCTCGTCAAAACTCGTCAAATCACAAGCACAGCTACGTAACCACGACGTACACGGGTAAGTATACCTTTATAGTTCTGATATTTAATTTTTCTGGAGTCTGGTTATTATTCTGGAGTATTGATTTATCAATAACTAATAACTAGCTAATCTAATTTTTATAAAATAATTTGTTTATTTTGGTAAAATATTAAAATTAGCCAATCTACGTATTTGTTGAATATTTTTATTTTATTTGTAGGTATAATAGGTAGGTAGTACTTGACTATTTTATAAATTATTATTCATAATTTACTATCAAATATTCTGGTTTTTAATATAATATACTGGTATCTTTATTTATATAAACTATATACCTACCTAATTTATAACATTTTATGTGTAGGTATACATCACATTTAAATTGTTGTACCTATCTGATAATTTAAATTTCTAAAATATTAAATTAATTTTTATAAATATGGCTCATAGACAACATTTTAGCAAGTCAACAAAACGTAGGAGATTTATTGAAGAGGTTTGTGTAGTTGATCTTTTTAGAGATAGTTCCACAGAAAGTCCAATACTTTCAGAAGTTTTATCCATAGCATCTACCTCATCTCACGTTAACATATCATACACAAATGATCATTCACAGTCAATTATACCTAAATCTAGTTCTTGTAATGATACTGATGATTTTTATATTTCTGATGAATATGAATTACTAGATAGTCCATCTGATAGTGATATAGGTAGTACTACTGAAGAAGTATTAGATAATATAGAGTATTCAGGTTTTAATTTTTGTAATAGTGATGCTGAATCAATGTTAAAAGCTTTAGCTCAGTGGGCAGTCAGCCATAATATTACAAATGTTGCCTTATCAGCATTATTAAAGAGCCTAAAATCACATAAATGTTTTGATAAATTTCCAATTGATGCTCATACAATTTTAAAAACTAATTCAAATAATAATTCTACGCATATTCAATTAGTTCAGCCTGGAAATTATTATCATTTTGGATTTTCTAATGAGCTAAACAAAATAATTAAGTTTTTAAATATTTCTGAAGACACAATAAATATCAATATAGGAATTGATGGTTTACCTATTAGCAAAAGTTCGGGGAGCACATTTTGGCCAATCCTTGGTAATATTGATAATGTATCATCATCTACATATGTTTTTTTAATTGGACTGTACTGGGGATTAGAAAAACCTTTGGATAGTAATTCATATTTGAATGATTTGGTAAATGAATTAAAAGAATTGTCAACTATAGGTATATCTACACCTTATGGTAAAAAGTTTGTTACTGTGAATTGCATTTGTTGTGATGTTCCAGCAAAAAGTTTTATTCTAAAAACTAAAGGCCATACAGGGTTTGCCTCATGTTCAAGGTGTTTTATTGATGGTGTTCGTATTGGAAGTAGAACTTGTTTTCCAGGAACACGGTTTATTAAAAAAACACATACAGACTTTATAAATCGTATACACGAAGAACATCATGTAACTGATTCAATTTCAATATTAACCAATGTACCACATATTGACATGGTTTACAACTTCAGTTTAGACTACATGCATCTAGTGTGTTTAGGAGTTGTAAAAAAGCTTATTTTATTATGGTTAGGTAATTTGAAAAATGCTACTTTATCAGTGCGTCTACAATCTAGAAGTGTGCATGTTATTTCTTCTAATCATTTGTCACTTAGACCATTCATTACTAACGATTTTTCAAGATATCCCAGATCCTTTTCTGATGTTTCTAGATGGAAAGCTACTGAATTTAGACTTTTTTTACTTTATACTGGTCCAGTAGCTTTACAAGGTGTTATGAAAGATGAAGTTTTCAAACATTTTTTATGTTTGCATGTATGCTTCAGAATTTTGTTAACTCCAGGTATCAGTATAGAATTAATTGATTTTAGTGAAAAATTAATGATTTACTTTGTTGATAAATATGAAAAATTATATGGAGTAGAATTCAATTCACACAACATACATGGGTTACTTCATATTGTTGACGACTATAGAAAATTTTTCCCCCTTGATAGGTGTTCTTGCTTCCCTTTTGAAAATTACATGAAATTCCTTAAAAAAATGATCAGAAAACACGAAAAACCTCTAGAACAAGTAATTAAACGATATGAAGAAATTTCAGAATTTTGTTGCAAACCCACTCTTATTAAATCAAATAATCAAATACATACAATGAAAGAACATTATGATGGACCTATAGTTGAATACTGTACTGGCTGGTCACAATTTAAATGTATTATGATAAATAACTTAAAAATAGTTACAACATCAAACTCTGATTGCTATATAGGTTACGAACTACAGGGAAAACTAATCATTTGTAAAATTTATATGATAATATATGCAAAAAATCCAATAATAATAATGAGAATATAATATTTATTGTTAAAGTATTTGAAAAAATTGAAATGTTTTTTGATAAACCAATTAATAGTTTTAAATTAGGAATTACTATTGTAGAAAATCTATCAAAAAATTTTGAAATAGTTGATGTTAAAACAAAATTTAAAAAGTATATGATATTGCGTAATAATGAAGGTGTATTAATTGCGTACCCAATTTTACATTGTAATACAAATTAATAAATTAAATGTCAGTTAATTTTTTTTTTTTTTTTATTAATCTAAAACATTGACAACATGGATCTTAGTTAATGAACAAGATGACAATAAGTCATAATATTTTAAATGATTCAGTCAAGATTGTTACTTGTACTTAGTAATCCCTATTTATATATTTTTATTCTACAAATTATTTTGGTTTAACTACCTATTATACATATAATTAATTATACTAAATGTATTTGTTTTTATATTTTTGTAATTTATTTTCTACTTATTGATGAATGATAGTCACATGGATTTTTTTAAAACTATTTTTAAGCTCTTATTTTATTTACTGTTTCCTATGGTATTATATGATTACTAGATAATAAATCTACTTTAATGTAAATGTATAATACAGGCTAAACAAAACTATTTAAAAATTATTATTTTTTCTCATAGACCTAAAATGGATACCTCATATTCAATTGTTCATTTTTTCGACGATGAAACAGTTGAGGCAATCCCATCGTTTTGGATGAAAGGCAAGTTTTGTGCCTGGCCAAAAAATAATCTTTTCGTAAAAAAGTTTATAGAAAAAAAAATTAGAGTAAACGAAAAAGAATTTAAACTTCTAAAAGCTAGAGTACTTACTAAAGGCATAAGTAAGTTAAAATAGTATTTTTTGTGTAAGGAATAGTCTTAAATATATTAAAATATATTTTTAACAATTATGTTATGATTTGTTTTTAAATGTATAGAAACTGTTGAACATGCAAGGAAATTGGCTGAAGAAGCTAGATATAGATCAGATTTTTCTGCTGATGAATCATTTATTGATAAAGCTTCTAATAACCAGTATTCTCCAACATTATCTAATTCTTCTATGCCTCTATTTGAAGGTATTGAATTAGTATTATAGATAATTATTAATTTTTTTTGTGTATAGGAAATGTTATTTTAAGTTTATAGTATTTGTTTTTTTTTTCAAAATTTAAAGTTCTCATGCTGATTTTTGTAATTAATATACAATGCAAATTAGTAGATTTTGAAAATGAAGACCAACATCAATCTCAATACACAAAAAAAGATAAAATTAGTATATCTCAGAAAAAGATACACTGGTCACTTTCTCCTCAGGAAAAAAAGTGCTGGTCATCTCCTAAGAAGAAAAAAGGCTGGTCACCTTCTCCTCAGAAATTGAAACGTAAGTAATTATGTGTAATATTAAAACTATGTATACAGATGAGTAGTTTAATTTATTTAAAAATCATAAAAATAATATATTGTAATGTAAAGCACATCATTATAACATCACATTATTATGTTATAATAATGTATATGATATGTTAAAATGTATAATTTAAATCAAATTTCTATTGATTTAGTGGCAAAAACTCAACCAATTATGTCAAATTCTAAATTGTCATTGAAATCAACATCCCGTGAAGGTAAGTATTTAGTATTGTTTATTTTGAATATAATAGTCATTAAATTCCTACATTTTAAATTCTATGTCTGTAGTGCTTAAAGTTTCAATCAATAAACAGTTTCAACATAACCAAGATGATAACGAACAAACTCCAAGCCGTGTACTAAAAAAAAAAAAATAGTGGTAATTTTTATTTTAAATGTAGTTTAGAAGAAGGGACCAATAATGTTGTTGGTATAATTTATAATTATATATGTTTATTTTTATAGATATTAAAAATCCAGTGTCAAGAAAAATTTTATTTGACAATAAATCAGATGATGATGAAAGTGAAATTTTAAATGATGGTAAGTCAGTTGTACTATTTAGTTTATTTTTTAGTATTTTACAAAAAGTAAACATTCACTATACCTTAAATGATTAAATTTAATTTTGAATATCAAAATTATTTTTATTGATAGTTTTGAAAATGATTTAAATTAAAACATTTTAGTAGACATTGGGCTAATGAAATGAATAATGATATGCTAATTTAAATTAATCAAATTAATTTTAATATTTAATGTTTCAATATTTGTGTTTACAGACACTGAAAATGATAATCTTAACGAACTATTTTTGAATAAAGCAATAGGACACAATAGTAAGATATAGTTTTATTATTTAATTTAACTGTTATATTTGATATTATAATAGACAATTATTTTTACAGCCAATAATGGTACCACAAAAGAAAAAGGTTTGGCTATATGTAGTACTATACCTAATCTAACAGAAATTGATCATAATAATAAAAATGGTATCTAATTTAAAATAAACAATCATAACATTTTTCAATATTATTATTTAAGTTTCATTTTTTCAGATTTATTGCAATCTCAAAATCATATATTAAGACATATAACATTTTTAAAATATGAGTTGAAACAAATTTTAAACAATCAAGCAATAATACTCGATAAATTTGACCATATGGAAAAATATTTTGATCAAAATTCATTGAATAAGAATGTTATAAATATTGATAATGTGGTCGACTTTAGTGACTGTCCTTTACCAATCGATAACATCTATGATTTACAAACATTTGAAGACAAGATAGCTGGTGATCAAAATTATAAAAATCAATTAGTAAGTTAACCCCAACTTATTTCATTATCTATATGGTTTATTGATAAAGATCATAGGCGCAACTAGAGCTCTATTTGTGGGTAGGCTAAATTGATATCAGCAAACCTGTAGGGGCTTTGCCCCTACACTACTAGTATTGATAACATACAACTGGGTGGGCTAAGCCCACCCAAGCCCTCCCTAGTTGCTCCTATGATAAAGATAGATTAAATTGTTAAAATTGTTTTAATTATACATATCCCAGGTCAAAGTAGTTTTTGTCTTAAGTTAATTATAAGTACTACTTGTGCATTGATTATTTAAAATAAAGTTTATAATAACACAATTAATTATTATTTTCAGATCATTGAACTATCTCATATGGGAGGAAAAAATGTAAAATCAGTTGTCAAAAGACTTATGTCAAAACTTTTTTCTGATAGTTTGCTATCAGAGTTCTCCTATACTGGTAAAAAAGGAAAAAAAAAAATTTCAAGTTTATTCATATGTTCTGTTATTTTTGGTGAGTATTCAATAATTATATATTATAATGTTATTGATTATAGTATAATATATATATTTTTCAAATAAAATGACCTCTATTTTGCAATTAAATACAACTCCAGTCATATTAAGAAAGAACTTAGGTGGCAATCAATTTTTATCAGGTGGTTTATTTATGCTATACTAGTTTGCCTGGTGCTCTCACCCACAAAACAAAACAATGCTCCTGCACTCAAATCAGCCAACGAAGTTCTTTCTCAACATGAATTGAAGTATAGTAGTGTATATATGTAGTGTTATTCTACTATCCCTATCAAAGTTGAATTAATTCATAATATAACAAAAATAACTATTTTTATGTTATTTATTTTACTAGAAATATATACATATTAGTGTGTAATTTCTGTTTATTTGATTTTCATATGGTTTTGATATCTAAAAATATATTTACTCTTTTTTAAATTTATTTATGATTTTTACATGAAATAATAGTTTTATATATACAATATGCATGCCTAATTTTTATATTATTATACATTGACTTAAATATATTTTTATATATTTTTAGATGCAATTAAAAAGCAAATTAAATTCAAAACTACTCCACTCAATGAAGTTGAAGATATAATAAAATACATTTTAGCTCAATCTCCATTTAACTTAAAAAGACAACTTAAAAAAAAAAAAACTCTTCCTAATTCCATTTAAAAATTGAATATACGTGCATTTATATAATATTTAATTTATGTGTTTTTAGTATTTTTACTTATAATGATAACATAAAAAATAAGTTATTTATTTAAAAGATTCCTCAAACTGATCAAATTCATTATTTTTGTTTATTCCATTAGAATTTATATTTGAATGTATAGACTATATTTATAAATGTATCTATTGAAAGGTTTGGTATGAAGACAGTATTTAATAGTTTAATAATACAGGTATAGCAATGATTTGCTGTTAAAATTGGATAGATTAAAAAATATAAAAGAGTACCAATATAGATAACATTTTGAATTTGTTTATTTTTGCCAAGAAAATATAAATTGTGAATCTGATGCCTGGTGGGGGAGTATTATTGTATGCATTAAGCTTGTATTTTTCACTCTTGTGGATATTAATATATTTTAAAATAAAATTTTATCCAGGATTAGATTAACTAATAAAATTAAGATACCTAATTTTTTAAAATTGTATTGTAATGTACAATATTATTTATGAGTTATTAAATTACTTCCATAAAAAAGGAAATAATTGAAATAACTTCCAAGAGGGGGTTACAGCCTCCCCCTATTACTATATTTAAGTATATTGTTAAAGAGTGTAAAAATATATACACTTGTATATTATTTATCATATCTTCTATTGGTCGTCTGTATGTCAATAAATAATAATAATATTAGCAAGCAATATTTAATAACATATATTACATTTTAATCATTAATTAATGTATAATTTTGAAACCATCAACATTTATTTAATTTTAATTAAATATTGAGAAATATCAATAAAATATTGATTAAATTTTGTAATTAAAATATTGTAACAACCATTGGTTTTTAAATTGTATACAACGTTGGTTTTTAAACATAATATAAATAATTAAAATTGGTTCAAAAAAAATGTTTTATAGTGGTTAGTTAACATTTAATAACTTATATCAAATGAAATTTAAATGTTGACACAACTAAAAAATTTTTCTTACTTTTAAATTTAAATGTTGATTTAAAGTTAAATAAATATTGCATTGCTGTGTGGGATTGTTTATTTATTTAATAATTTTCTGAGAGCCCTTTGAACACAAAATAAGGAAATGAAAGGAAAAATATCTGTGGGTAGAATATTGCGAAATTTCAAATTGTTTATTATGTATGATATTTTCGAAGTATTAATTTAGTAGTGACGGGTGAAAAAATAATTTTCCGATTAATAGCAACTCATGATTATACGTGGTAGTCAAAAAGATGATCTATATAGGTACATGGTCTTATATTTGCATAAATATTAAATAGTAGATGTCATAGGGATGATGACGGTTAATTAATTTGGGATAAGAGAGATTTCATGGAAATTCTAATGGCATATTTAAGTAATTTATGACGACGAAAAATATTTATAGTTGTGGTTTGTTGCAATAAAATATTATTAGTTAATATTATAATTTAAACACAAGATGATTTTATAAATTAAATTACTATCAATTTCGTATGTATATTTATATTATAGAAAGTAATTTAAATCTTAATTATATTAATACAATATTAATTTAATGCATACATAAAATAGTATTCAACATTGATTGATGAAACCCATCTAGTGCAGTCTAATGGAATAATCTTAATGGGTCATTTTGATGTTTAACGGATTACTCAAGATTTAACGGTTTGTTGATTTAGAATAAATTTATCTTGAATATAACTATATGGTATAAAGAATATTAATGTATTTTATGTTAAGAGCTCATTCACTCATAAAAAGGATATTGAAAAATTAAAATGAAGTCATTTTTTAATCAAGCTACAAAATACATAATTACTTTTTAATTGTAAACTAGTTAATATACATATACAGGTCTGATGAGAAGGGGGAAGTAATGATCCCCCCCGAACTCAAAATTTTTGAGAAGGCCCAGAAATTAGGGTCTACAAATTATTAAAAATTAAACATAATTAATGATAAGAATTTAATGAACACTGCAGAAAAAATTAACATATACCTTAAGATTTACCCCCGGGCCCAGGTTCCTCTATCCACAGCCCTCTACATATAATATTATTTTCGTATTAAATAGAAGTTGAACCAAATATATATGAAGAATCTATGTATAACAATATATTATATAAATTTATATAAATATAGATTTTTAATTATATAATTAATATTATTTCTGAACGAATTTAATTTATTTTATAGTATTACAAGTCAACTTTTATTAAGTCTATCATTCATACGCTAAGTTAATTTGTTATCTGAAATAAACTTCACTGGTTTCCAAATAAACCCAAGGGATCTTAATAAGATAATCGAAAAGTAATTGATTTGATTAGACAGTTTGAGTTTGTTTTTATGCCAATAAAGAATATTATTAATTTCAGTAAAAATGTTTTACTTCTAAAATTATTAAAATATTTTTGGAAGATTTCAATACATGAGAAATATTTTAATGAAAATTACTTCATCATGAATGTGTCGTAATTATTTAATTAAATGTAACATTTTTTAATATTATGGTAATCATAAGCGCCGCCAGGAATTTCGTCAGGGGGTTACTCATGCATTGTGTATAGACTGATTTCTAAATATTGATTAAATTATTTAAGTTAAATACACAGGAATATTTTTTCAAATTGTATGATAATACAAATTTTTTCGTTTTTTTCGACGGCTACAAAGAAATTACTACCTATTAGAAAATCCGACGATAATAACAGTAGCCATAATCCTATATTTTAAGTTTTATTCTTTTTTTTTTTAATCCAGAGGATGAAAGTACAACTCCTTACACCTCTCTTATGGCACCCATGATGGTAATAATATATATTGCTATAATTTTTGAAAACCGAAAAATGAAATATAAGACAACTAATGATTTTTATTTAAGATCAACTGTTAAAAATACACCTATTATAATTTTATTCGTTTATCTTATTATGTATAAAATATTTTTAAAAATAATAATTATTAGAGGGAAATAGGATTATAGGTTATAATAATTTAGAGAGCAGTTATAACATTATCTGAGTTCAACGTTGCACGAAGTAAAATCAAAGATATTGAAGACGTTCTATAAAAATACAGAAAACCGTATAAATTAGAAAATAGATAAATAAGTAATCAACAATGCTATAACAAAAACCCACTAATTGACAAAAAGGTTATAATGTAATATTTGTTAGACTCGTAATAGGCATTATAATTAAAACGTCAAGATATTTAATTTCAAATTAATATATTATTTTAATGATTATATATTATTTTAATGATTATATATTATTATTTATATTACAATTATTGTACCTAATAAAAATATGTGTGTACTTATGATACATCGCTTACATTATAAGCATACACTTATAAAGTTCACCCACACCCGTAATCAAGGCCGTAACTGGAAAAAAATCTCCCGGGGGGGGGGGGGGGAACAATATTATTTATTACAAATTTTTAGTGGTTAAAAAGAATAAAAAATTTTTTCTTTTTTGAAATTTGGGGGGGGGGGGGCCAGGGGTCTGGACCCCCCCAGTTACGGCCTTGCCCGTAATTAAGGTTACTCAAGCGATAACATATTTTCGTAATTTATGGAAGAAATTATTTGGTATTAATGTCGGTTACACACTTATACAACAATTCACATGTAAGTTGCAATGTTAACATATGTGCAAAAAATATAATATTCTTTGTGGACATTTACTGGAACACGTGATGGTAGTTTTCTATCGAACTGCACAAAGGGTGGTCATCATTGATCAGTACAGTAGGGGTGTTAAATAATACTATTGTATCACCTCATTGAAAAATAGGTTTTACCGTCATGTTTAATGCACCCAAAAGGAAATACCCAGAGCATATTATTATTAGTAATAACTTATAACTATAAGTTCTTAATATGTAAACATTTCGAAGTATTAATATCATCAAATGAAAATCTTAGAATAACTTAATAATATTGAATAAAAAAATTGAATATATAAAGAATAATATTGAAAATGAATAAAATTACTTTATGATTACAATAAAATTACTTCTGACGTTAAATTTTAATAAAAATAAAAGTATGATAACTAAATATTATAAAGTGTGATAAAATGGCAACAGTCCATTAAATATATATATATATATATATATATATTACATTTATTTAATATTAGAATACAAGATAATATTGATAAAAAATGTCTTGTTTAAGAATTAAAATTTTGTTTTCATAAATGCGCAATACAATCATTTTTAAATTAAAACTATAAAACATCATTAAAGTCAGTCATAGTAATGTCAATATCAGTACTTACTTAATAGCACTGTTTAACATATATACGAACATTTTAAGATTCTTAAAACTAAAATATTTTATTACAATCGTAAAAAAAAATAAATTAATATTACAATTGCTAATATTATCATTTTTCATGTATATATTATATATTTATATTACCAATATATAATCGCGAATATCTATTATTGGAGAAGCAAAGGTAAATAAAAAAAAATGTAAAATTTCCAAAAATAAATTATAGCAACCAATAATTAATAATAAATTATCTTACCGATTTCTGAAAATAGTTAGATATTATTAACAGCAAAGTTATCAAAAGAAATTAATTTCAATTTTGTAATCTAAAATCCAAGGCAAAAATAAAGTAAACGATTTCAATATGAATGACGAGTTTAAAGGAATATTAAAAAGAAACATGTAATCGACACATTCAGAGTCATGTGCATACTGATAAAATATCCATAGATTTGTTCGACCCTGTCGATAGTGGCGCTGGTAAAGTAATACTAACGAATAGCACTGCGATAAGATAGCAGTTCTGGTGATGGTTCAAGAATGGGAGGGGGTTGCAATGTTTAGTAAAGGAATATGATGCTCAGGGATGCGTAGTGTCAATAATATTTATAATATTCTCGTCATCAACATATGCAGTTGTACACTAATGTTATGTATTTGCTACGAATTAATTATTACATTATATTAACATATAGGTATGTATACAAACAAAAAAATACGAACATGTACAATATAGTGTGGCTTAAATTTCATATATGACTTAAAAATCTAAAATAAAATTCAAATCATGATTAATAAACAGTATAAGTAATCTGTCAAAATACTTGTAATATGAAAATGTAGTTAAAAGTAATTACGATACAATTTATTAATTAGTTATCACAAATAAAAATACATATAATGTAGTGTATAATACTTTTACAAATAGTGAGGTACTTAAACTGCTACTACCTATCAATGGTGCAATTAGTTGCAAAATGCTGTTAGATCCCGAACCACCTGCCCCAGTGCCCTGTATAATAAAAAATAAGAATAAATATTATGATATAATTTTAATTTAAATCTTAATATTTAATTCATATGAAGATGATTATTAAGTAAAATGAAAAAAACTTACTAAATAGTGAGTATAATTAAAACTGAAAAATATGAATATAAAAGAGAAATATCGAACTAACTATATTATATTAAACGACATGATAAGGTTTAATATAAAACTAAAAAGTTCTCGGCAAGAAAATAAAATAAAATATATTAAAATTGTGAATATTTTATTCGTAACACTGATAATACAACTTTATTTCTATAATTATTGTGTATCAAAAATCTGATAGCAATTATTAATTTTATTGATTTTACAAAATATAGTAAGATGAAAGAAGAGTTTATAATGGATTATTACATTTTATGTTTGCATGTTCCATGCAATACTGTACGAAAAAAAAAAAAATTAAAATAAACAGAATAAATGTCAGTTTATGAAAATTAAAAACAAAACAAATTAATTGAAATATTTTATTCATATAATTATATTGTCTAAATAAATAATAAGATAAATTGAACTGATGATAAAAGTAATTGGTATAATTAAATACCCTATCTAAGTATAAAAATGTACAATGGCAAAAAAAAAAAAAATGAATAAAAATCATGTCACTAAATGGGTGGGTAGGTGTTCGAGACATATGGAAACGGCTTGTGTTTATATGTTATCAGATGCCGACGACACGGAGCGGAGTGGTACAAACGGTCGCAAAAGTGGTTGCAACGATCTTAAAAATCCCCTGGACGTCCTTACTACCTGATTGTAAATGAAAATACGGTAGTGATATTCGTAAAGGCCGTATGATATCCGTATAATAGCCAGTAGTTGCTGCATTCATTGTAGACTGTTATTGCTACAGCGTGTTAGAGCATCCATGGCAAGGCCATGGAGCGTGACCGAAATTAATGTATGATACTTTATTATTCTTTTTAGACCTTTTATCCCTTTATCCCCCATCAGAAAACAAATTAATTATCAGTTTTTCTGGCTAGTCTATGTAAGACATGCAACAGTCCCATTAAAATAACCAGTTACGAATGCGGTGATTTTGAGATGTTAGTTAAATTATATTCAGATATATATAATAAATAATTAATACTGCATGTAAAATAATCACTTAGAAGTTATAATTATATATTATTTATTTATTCTTCTGTTCCTATTCAGTTTTTTATATTACGAAAAAAAAACACATAAGAGTATATTATCCATACTTACATTTTCGTTGCAACACCGTCACATACGTAATAAAATAATAAGAATTTATTTTTATTTATGATTTTATACATTTTATATATTTATAATTATAATTAAAAATTATTTTAACACCGTATATTGTTGTAGAATAAACAGTGAGATGTATTGGGAATTAATATTGTACTAATAAAATCGATTATTATTCAATAAACATTTTTAAAATATTTATTAGATATTATATTTATATTTTTTTCAAATCGTAATAATAATAATCATATTCGGTGAGATAGCAAAATTTTTTTTTGATGTTTTTCCATCATCAAAATAAAGGTTTTATATATTTATTTTAAGAATATTATCGAAATGTAATTATGAATAGTCTTAAAATATTTCCTGTCAGTTTCTCATACGAATCAAAGTGTAACAAATTTAATTAAATATACTCGTATATCAACATATATAATAATTGTATAAGGTGTTTACCAAACCTAAAAGACTGTATTAACGAAGGGTTTTTGTTTCTCTTTTTTCTAAACGGCTGACGGATATCCAAATATGAAGATGCGGATACTTTATTAAAAGAGCCAAAATATGTTTAAGGTTTTTTAGTAGATGCTATGTTTTATTTTATATTTAAAAACATGTTTATCGTTTTATTTCATTATAAATCATAATATATTCATAATGGTTCGGGTAAACGTATATAAATATATATATATATATATATATATATATATATATATATATATTCATTTTAAAGATTTTGGAACATACATCTGTACGTAGTTTTCGAAAGGACATCTTAGTTTTCGGCAAATTCTACTTACAATAACACATATCATGATTACCATCCAAGCCACCACGGGTGGTAATTCACCCTTCTCGATATGTAGCTACGTATGGGAAACATATTGCACAGGATTATGTATATATATGTATATATGTATATGTACACATATGTTTGATTATTGTTGCAACAAAATGGTTATTTATATAAAGTGTTGTTGATTCGTTAGTATATTCATGAACTGTAATTGCTTCTCGAAAAGCGTATAAAGATATTGGGTAGTTTTTCTTTTGTGAACTAATCTTTAGAATAATGATAAATGAAAAAAAGTGACAGTATTTATACGTAAGATATTTACATTTTGAATTGGTTAAGCAAAAAATATAATCGCAATTTTTTACGCATGTTTTAATCAATTATTCCTTAACTGAAAGCGAGTTAAGAAAAAAAAAATTATCAACATTGCAATCTATGGATTGTTTAGTTCTTTGTACAATAAACAAAAAATTATATACATTATTATCTTGTAAAGTTACACACTTATTTTGGATATGTATTTAATACATTTTTCAAGTATTTGACGAAATATTCCCTAAAATATTCACCAGAATATTATCAATTGGAAATTTCAATAAATAAACCTAAGCTTTTTCAATCCTTCGTCGTAGCATGTTATGTGTATATCGCATGTGCAGATATGCTTTCATAAACATAAACAAGCTCGTGCATAAACTTCAATGGACTGATATTTTGGTTATAATAATTATAAATTAATTAATTATTAACACAGTGTCATATTGGTACAATATCTACAGAATATGTTGTCGAACACACTATAATTTTTTAAATAATCCGTTGTCGATAATTTAAATATACCTAATCAAAGAACATCGTAAATTAGTAAAGCGTTAATATTGAATATATATATATATTACAAATATGAAGTGCCAGAAAAGTAAATAGGTACATTAGTATACATCGGAAAAGTGCATAAGAACGTAATGTTTTTTAACGGCAAAAGTAAAAAAAAAAAAATCGATAAACATCGTGAAAAAGTCGATGAACCTTAAAATATGGCTTTCGTAAAACTGAAATTGTTACAGTATTTTTACATTAAATGTCGATGTAATATTACATAGTTAGAAAGAATATAATATAATTGTAGTGGTAATAACTATTATACGATCGTTTCGCGAGTTAACTATTCACGGTGACCATACTCTATGGTTATCACTATATGGTTGTCCACGGGCACGCCGTCTACGTATCAGCATCACCACCACGACGTGGATATCGGTGATGACCACCAGGACTGCGACACCGGTGTCGACCACCAAGTAGATGTTGGCGTCGACCACCAAGGTGATGACGACCACACAGACGACGTGGACCATGAAGACAATGACAGCGGCTGTGGTTCCGTTAAATCCGTCCACGGTGACGCGGTGATAACTTGCAAAGGCCCCTGTCGTGGCAACGTCTGTACTAAAGGCGTGGCCGGCGCTTTTTGAATAGGAACATCTAGCGCGGACGCTTGAGCGGACGACGATGGGGACGATGATGAGGACGACGATGGGAACGACGAGGGAGCTGACGATTTGACAAAAGCCTCGAGTTTCATCTATTTGGTAAAATGCACACGGTTTATATTAAACATGTATTAGTGTTATGTATAGTGTTCAAAACAATAAGTTATTTTATTTTCAATTTATTAAAAATAAATCTATATTCTGAGAAGTGTACACAATAAATAATTTTGCTGTTATACGAAGAATATTTTTTACATGAAGACATTAGGAGAAGAAGGTCTACCGACCTCACCTAAATTGTTGTTATTATTTTTTTAACTTTTTGCTTTTTATTTGACCTGCAATATCGTAATATCACAAAATTTAGTAAGTTTTTGGACCAGTCTTTATTCAGATAATGTGAAATGTTCCCATGTGTTGTTATGCAGTACATTTGGTGTATTGGTGAATTATAGGATTTTTATTTTATTTATTAGAAAACGTATTTTATTAATTAAACGTACTATGCCAAATGGAATACATAATAATGATCATATTGGTTGATTACAAAGTAATAATTATTTACACATATATACAATATTAATTATAAGGTTCATTCATTTAGATATAGGGGCATTTTGAACATAATTTAGCACATCGAACCAGATGAACCAGATGTGAGAAGACTAGTGATTCTGAACAATTGATGATTCTATTTAATAATTTAAAAGGAAAATGAAGATCAAGTTTAATTCTCCTTGTCCCAAGAACTTCCATGTTGGTTTTCTAACAGTCATTATAGTTTATCATGGAATTATCTGTAATGATATTTTGCTAGTTCTCTCACAGTTAGTAAATGGTGATCTTTGTGTTAGGTTTGATTTGTGATATGACAAGGTATATTTATGATGATAGCTATATGAGCTTAAAGTTATAAACTGGAAAACTAGCAATAGTCTAATATTTGTTAATTTGGCGTGTCATTATATTCGTATCTCATATGACCAAACTGGTCTGAATATGCATTAAACGTTAAAGATATTACATCTAGGATACTGAATATGAACGAGATACAATAGAATTGCAATAAACCAAGCGAGATTGAGGAAAGGGGTTGTTTGGATTATGTAAGACTTACAAAAAAATTAATTTCTTTGTAATACAAAAAAATATAATAAAATATTTAAGATATTGAATTTTTTTTTTTAACACATGTACGTATATCACGATGTGATAATTATTACGTCCGTCTGAAGTACCTACACTCCACCTATGTCCGGTTTCCTGCGCAAAAAGATTATACTCACAATGTTCGGTGAATGTTTAACCAACATGACTTTATATGAAAGAAATAAACCAGTGAAAATTATAAATTAACATTATATTCTTTGTTTCGCCGACAAAAAAATGATTTGGTTTCTTTGTCGGGGGAGTTGTCATAGAACGGCGTAATGTATAGGCAAGACAAGTGTACAATTGTAAAGAGACTATCAATGTTGTAAAGTATTTTTCAACCGACTAAAATGGCATTAAGTGTTCGTGTAGCTAAGAAAAAACAACACTAATAAATATAGCTAAATTATTAAATTATTAACTTGAATCAGAGTTTTTCATTTAAATCGTGATAATTTTTTGAATTAATACATAATAATATTTTTTAACTAATAATATTTTTCTAACTTGTGGGTGCATTTTCAGTTCCTACGTGTCATAAATCAAAGAGACTTGAAAAGTAAAAATCTAAGAATGATATATTTTACTATAAAATTATGTTTGTTAAGGCATTATTAACTTTTAAACATTTACTTTACATAATAGTATAAAACAAAAATTAGTAAATAGTTAATACTCGTAAATAAGTATAATATAAATTGTATATTATATTTAATTTATTTAATCGAGGTATGATACACGCCAAAATTACATATGTTTTCAATTTGTGTATTTACAAAAACATGAGACAATGCAGTAAAAAATGTGCAGGTTCTAATCCCATTAATTAAATTGGACTAAGGATGTTTGAAGACAATTTGTAAATAAACAACGTGAATCTAATGCTTATGGGTTATTTAATAAACTGTTAAAAAACTAGTTCAATTATGAATTTAATTAATAAACATTTTAAATAATTCACTTGCATTCATAATAATCGATTGTTATATCAGTTGATTATCAAATAGATAATGAACACTCACCATTAAAGCATCCTTGATAGTTTTTAGCAAGCCACACTTTTTACATCTCATTGGTTTATGTTGCTGCTGTAAAATCGGAAAAAAATTAAGCACTACCGTCGTTACATTTTATTCGGTAAATTACTTGTATTTGTAATTTAAAAATGATCATATTAAGACGGAATGAAATAATGTACATACATTTATTTGAAGTATTCTCACCATTTTAAAAAATCTGAGACAATTTAGCTGATTGTGCGGTACAGAAGGCTGTGAACTTTGTTTTGTGATCATTAAACTTAGCTACTTATACGGACTACTATTCTATATGTAATATTTATTATTATTAAATCAGGTAAGTGAAAAAGGATACTGAGTATTAACTAAGGAAAGGAATTCAAAAATACGAGAATACGTAAAATAAAATATAACTACAGTTTACTTATATATAATTCACAATATAATTACTATGCAGAATAATTACTAGACAATAACGATAAAGATTTTTCATTAAAATGTATTAATATATGAAAAAAATAGTGTTTTTGATTTTTGTGTTTTTCGTATGATTATATGAATAATAACAATACATTTATAATATTATTTAAAACTAAAACTACCGCCATTGTGATTTATGAAATAAAAAAAAATATAAATATGTTCAATAATAATTTACTATACACCACTACCGTTATTATAATAAATATTGATGTATGTGTAATAGTGTACAGTCATTGATACACATTACCCTAAGCTACTTTACTAACTACTAAAAAAAAATAAAAAAATGAATTGCTACAAAACTATATAATTAATAAATATTATATAAAAAATATTATGATGATAATAGTATGTATGTTATATACATACATATAATTAAATTTAAATGGTATGACAATGATAATATGGCGTGTTATACGTATACATACACACATGTATATAATATTTTAATATATAAATATGTGTGTGTATATGTATACTTTTATGTAAGCTAAATTTCACTATTTAATATACATTTAAATACATTTACATACGTACATACCTACACATATATCAGTATAAATATGTATGTATTTATGACTAAATATTTTACAACATATACATGGATTGCTAGACGATATTTGACGATGAAAAATTAAAAATATTTCTATGATTTTAAAAGAATTTTACAAAAAAACAAAATTTTAAAATGTTCAATTTTTATATTTTATAAATATGAAGGAAATCAAAATTGTACTATTTTAAGTAATTACATGGTAAACAATCGACATTTTGTATTAATCTTCAATAGTTTAATTTGACATGGGATCGTATTCCTATTGTACCATTTTTATCATTTTACTAGTAAACTAATAGAGTATGATTTATATGCTATTACTTTGATGCATTATGCATGCATGTGATAAAATATATGTAATTTCATAACGAAAATGATCGAACAATTATGACCGATGGAATAATTACTAATTGTAGAATGTAATGTTCCTATTGATTGTATGATAATGAAACTAAATAGAGCAAGTATGGTTTTGTGACGAAAGATGTTTAAAATTATTATCATCATTGCCGTTTATGAAAAACTATCAATGAATCCATCAATAATGTTATAATTTTTTACAAATATGTATATTTAAAAATATAAATGGAAAATACATGCTGTTGAATATTATAAGACATTTATTATGCCGTTCACGTCAGATGAAGCTAGTTGGTCGATTGGCTACACATAGAGCTTTAAGTGGTGTTAATGCTTTTTAACTACTACTATTTACTATTATAGTGAGTATATGTCTTTGCCGTCGTCCTGCCACTAATTGTGATCTACAACCACAATCGGCGACGCAGGTCTCGGGGTCGGTCGTTTAATAACTGTGTGTACGTGACATCTTGTTGGTCATTATATTCTGATGCTGCAAAAGGGAGTCGGAAAAAACCTCCGATTTGACGTCTCCTTACCCCGGTGGGTGAAACAGCTCCAGCACCATTACCACTGTTTCCACCGGCTCCACCACTACTGGAACCACTGCTTGATCCTAAGAGACCCAGAAGATCGGAACCACCACCGGAACCACCATTGGCGCTATCACCACCATCGCCACCAACTCCACTACCCTAAAGAAACGAGAAACAATATCTTATATATTAATAAACAACAGTTTATTTATAAAGTGAAAACCATTGCACCAGAATAATTTTGATATTTATTATAAAACTTATGTTTACATATTTTTTACTAATCGTATTCAACACAGTTGTACAAGTGTTGTATACATGTACTTGCAATAGCACATATCATCAGAGTATAGTCGAACGATACAAAATATATAAAACTTATTATATATTATATAAATAATTTACTCAATTATTTTACTTGCCGCGACCATTGATGAAAATGAAGACGAAGATGCATCAGCTGACGCAGATGAAGCACCAGCAGATGATTGGGACAGAATTTTGGCTAACCAATTGGACAATAATGAATTCTTTGTCTCAGAATTAGGCAAATTATAAGACTTCGAAAAATCCACGTTATCCTCGCTTGATAATATTGTAGTACTAACACTATTGTTATTATTGTTACGATTATCACCACTGTTACTACTACTGGATGATCCAGATAATGGACCGACTAAATTTAAGATAGACCCGGAATCCGATCCTCCACCATTTTCACCACCTCCACTTGATGATCCAGATAACGGACCAACTAAATTCAAGATAGAACCAGAATCTGAACTTCCACTACTATTTCC